TTTTGGTACATATTTTTTAGTCATACACACCTTATTCATTAATTTTTCAACTTTTTGATTTAGTAATCAAAACTCAAGTGATTTAAAATTAAATTAGTTTGATTTTTAGTCAAATAAATTTAAAATTTAGTCAAATTCAACTCATTTATAATGATTTTATTTTTTTTTAATTATAGATTTTTCAACCCACATCTACTAAAAAATAGACTTTTAAATAGATGTGATTATAAATATATAATTATAATTTAGTATTAAATAAATATTACATAATACCATATTATGAGTTTAAAATATATGACAGGATTATAATAGAAAATTATAATAATTAGCATTACAAAAACTTAACAGCTGAGCTTTCCTCAAACACCCTTTATTAAACTCCAATATCCACCCGTTGGCATTCCACATTTTCGATCATAATGATTAATGAGTACTGGTCCGAGGGGTCAACGATTCCATCCAGAGACGCGGGATTTACGTGCTCTTCCCGCCGATTGCTTCGCCGCCATCATCTCCTTAACGAGTCCTCTCGATGCCTGCAAATTGTCACTAGTTTCCCCCTTTTTCAACTCTGTCGCCAGTTCCGACGCCATTGGGTTAAGTTTTACCGGCCGACTATCAGAATTTGGTTCCCGCATCGCGCTTCGTTTCTTCCTTGAAGGACCTTTATCTCAGCCTCTGCGATCATCCTGTACCCATTGAAAATGGCAAAAAGGTAAATATATACATCTCGGCTCCCAACTGCCTTCCGATCTTTTCGTTTCTCGGTCCTCATAGAATCCTAGAGTCTGGTATGCTCTGTTCACTGGAAAATGATTTACTCCTTCTTTGGTTCATTTTAGTTCTCCTAACTCATCAATTTTATACAAATGAATTTGCTAATTTTATATAACAAAAAAATCGTAATTGAAAAAAAAATAATAATTAATTAAAAATACTCAAAAAAAATTATCCATAGAATAAATTTAATTACTCCATCCGTCCCAAACAAGATTTTTTCGATTTTATGTTTAGAGTAAGGATTTGGGGACAATTTGGGCTGACTGTAGCATTGATGTACGGAGACTCCCAATGTAAGGACCTGCCCCTCATTAGTTGTTATAAGATGTGAATTCTGCCCCTTGGTTACAGTATTACAGTATGAGGACCGACCACACATCATTTTTCTGATTTACATACAGTCAAACTTTATGCAAAATTTAAATTAGAATAACTAAATCAGAATAGAGAAGAGGGAGTACATGTTTTCTTAATAAAATGTTACAGTCCTAAATCTTACAACCTTAGGTAGTGTTAATCATTGGCTCTTTTCAGTTTTTTCACTCAGCAAGGTACTTGACTCGATGTGCATTCACTCGACATATGCATATTGTAAGATTTCATTGTTTGGACTGAGTATAAATTATAAGTTTAAAAAAACCAAATTCTGATAATGCCTTCCTTTTCCAATCAATTGCTGTGTGTAGCTAATTAAGCTACGAGCTTTTTTTCTGCTGTGAATGATTTTTCCTAAGAACTTTTAACATTTTTTTTTTTACAAACTTCTTGAGGACTCTTAACATTTATTTTGTGTGTGTAGCTATATACGGCTTGTCAAGAAGCCATGACTTGGTGTAATTTTCTTCTGTGTTGATAGTCTTGAATTCATGTCCATATGAAGCAGCTAACTACAAAGATTTTTATTGGTATAATTTACAAAACTTATGGATGTGTTGCCTTGGTATTCAATGCTTCTTTTTTTTGGAATATGCTTGCTAGAGGATTACGTTCTTGTTGGTGATGTAATAATGATTAATGATGATTATGTCCTTTCTATGGTGAGTTTGTGTTCCTATGGTTCCTTGTTGATATTTTGAAGTTTGATCAGCAATCTTTTCCAAACTATTCTTTTTCAGTACTAGTTTTTTTTTTTTTTTTGGCCAACATTTTCAGAACCAGGTGAGTGTTTAAATGTATAACCTGTATTGCACAGAGCTTTTCACTGCACAAAAGGAGTGGGGGGAAATTTTACATGCTAGCTGCCAAGGACCTAGCAATTACATGGGGTGATACTCCTCGTTATTGGAGATGGAACTCCATATGAGATTCCAGGTCTCTCTTTCTCTCTCTCTCCATACGAGATTCCAGCTCTCTCACACACACGCCCACGCAAACACCACTCAGAAAATGCAGAAAAAAGGCATGCTTGACACAGTTTCACTCACACCCAACCAAAAGAATTCAAGCATCAGTTGATTGTTTTTAAGTGTCTTCACCAACTAAAAATGAATAAATATGTGAAGATTAATGTCTATAATTCATGCTTAATTACAAACAAGTTCCCTGAGGGTGCAGAGCTTCTTGACATTTGTTGGTTTGAAATCAATGGGAGGATCAATACTTGCAAGCTTTCTTCAATGGCACACATTATAAGGCATACCTTGTGTTCAAGCTGGTAGTTAGAGTTTTTGGATTTAGAAATGAACCAATAGAAGCCACTGTTCGACTTAGTAGAACTGAAGGTTTACAACGAACTATGTTTCTGCGTGCAGATGGTGAAGATGTACAAAATGATTACGGATACCCAATAGAGAGGGGAGACGGTTGGTCAGAGCTAGAGTTGGGTGAATTCTTCAATGAAGGAGGTGAAGATGGCAAATTGAAAGTATGAATTTTTCGTTTCAATGGTCACTGGAAGAGCGGTGTCATTATTGAAGGCATTGAAATCTGGCCAAATTAGCAGGACACGACAAGATTTTCTTCCACCCTATGTATCTTATGTGCATGCAGGAAAAAATTGCTCCTGTTAGATTGAGTGTCATGCACTAGTCTTCATAAATGTACGAGTTCTATTGTTATCTAGACACAGTCTGAATCTTTATTTGATCAATGCCTGCATAATCTGTAGTGTTAATTACTAGTTTTGATTTGATTTAGGGAGGAGCACTTTTAGGACTTATTTAAGTTCGTAAGGAAAAGCATTTCAGGAATACTTGATATTTTTTAGTTCAGAATGCAAGGTGAGTTCTATATACTATATCGAATGTAAGGGGGCCTTTTTTCATAAAAAAAAAATTTACGGGAGCCTTTGGTACTAAGCAAGTGAGCATGGAAGCTGCTATTGGAGTCATTGTGAGAGATATTAGGGGATTAGTGGTTCAAGACAGATTATATTATTGTTCAATCTTCTTCTACTCTTCTAATTGAAGCTTATAAAACTAGCTGGGATTGAAGAAGGCATAAAGAGAAAACCGAACCAACATTACCACAGGAACTGATTCTAAATTAATAGTTAATGTTAGGGATGATGATTTTTCTTGATTTTTTGGGGCCTACAAGATTCTAGCAGTGGGAGCGAGGCTAGGAGAAATATTTGAGTAAAGGTACAAATAAGGATTCCAATTTTGCATTTTTTTTTTATTTAAGGATGTTAACTTTGTCATTTTCTAAATAAGAATGTCAACTTTCAATTTTTTTCTATTTAAGGATGTCAACTTTCAACTTTTTCTATTTAAGGAATAATTGGTGGTGATGCTGACATCAACTAACATATTTTTTTAGGTTAAATATCTAAATTGATCCCT